AAAAAAAAAAAAAAAAAAAGAAAAGAAAAAAGAAAAAAACAAAAAACAACCTTCCGCTCTCTCAGATCAGACTTTGAGACTTACTGTGGCTTGTTTGTGAGTCTTCCAATGAAAAACCTTTCTCTAGAGCTTGTAAACAGTTAGGAGCCAGCAGGTGTTATGGAAGCTGATGTATCTTCGACATTTGCTAATACAGGAAACGTGCTAATGCTAAGTCGAAGATAAAAACCAATTATACTTGACGAATATAGGTTAACTATTTGAATAAAACATGCCCTCACGTAACACTGGGTGCCATGGCACGTCATTTGGTTCAATCCCCGTTGTGAGCTGATTTCATTTCAAAGTTAAAAATGTTTCAGTCCCCACGTTTAAGGGAAGGTTCTTCATTTACAAATAAATAGGAAGATGGATGTTCTGAAGGTAGGAGGCAGGGAGGGAGGAGGCGGTCCCCTGAAGGTGGTACCCCTGTTACTGTTTGTCCTTTCCAGGTCGTGCCTGGGATGTCAAATCTCTACAGAAAGCGTCAACGTTTTAGGTGACGTGCTAATCTAGACATTTATTTTTACCAAGAAATCACTCTCAGGTAAAAAGGTATTGGTCACCAGGGAACGTTTTCACTTTTAAGCGAACATGCTTCGATGAACGTAACAGGACAGCCACTGGTTCCCGCACGAGACCGTCATAAAGGCCGCGGTTCTGTTGTAAAGGTTTGGTTCCGTTTTATCTTCCTCTGTGCACAGTTCCATCTGTGTCCCGTTCTAGGTGATTAAGTTGTATATTACTAAAAAGCATTTAATACCTAGGATTTGCGTGAGAGGTCGGAAAACCAGGCTTGCAGAGGAACGCGTAACAGAGCGTAACTCTCTTGCTTTACCCGTGGGTGCCGGAAAAACGCACTAAGCGACCACGGTCCTCGGCGAATGGATCGTGAACAACGTGTGACCAGCTCAGAGGACACTTTTAAGGATGTTTGTGCCCTTTAAAATCACCTGCATTCTGGGATGCCTGGGTGGCTCCCAGTTGGCTGAGTGTCAGACTCTTGGTTTCAGCTCAGGTCGTGATCTCATGGTTCCTGGGTCTGGGCCCGAGTCGGCCTCTGGGCTGGCAGTGTGGAGTCTGCTCGGGATTCTCCCCCCACCACCCACCCCTCTCTCTTTCTCATTCTGCATTACCCCTCCCCCTGCGGCTCACTCTCTCTCTCTCTCAAAATAAGTAAATGAACTTAAAAATCATCTGCATTCATTCAGGAAAGTTGACCACTCGCTCCTGAAACGGCACACGCAACAGGAAGGTGCTTGAAGGCAGTTCTGGAGACAAGGGGCTTCTGAGTGCACCCCACGCAGCATCCGTGTGCTGACACAAGAGAGGGACTAAGAACAAGGCGTCCACGATCACTGCGATACCATTCCAGATTGTCTGACCGTCAGTCACTTACGGGTCATTCGGGAATCGGGGTTACCGAGAGCCCAGTGCACTAACTGTACCGTGGTGAGTGACACCTGGCTCTGCCTCTAAGGTCCTTGGGACTGCAGGGAGGGCCATTCGAGTTACAGAAAGTGACAGTCCAGCTGCACAAGGAAAAGCAGAGTCACGCTCGCTGTAGAAACGACTTTCTGTCACTGCTGTTTTCCAACCGGAGGGTGGGAGCCCGGACAGGGCTGGGGGGAGGGCAAGGCCAGTGAGGCAAGTCCCCCGGGTGCAAACTTTAAGAAGGTGCCCGAATCCTCAAGCCATCTGTTGGTGCAACTTCAAAAGGAATGCAAACGACAGCAGCGACAACAACAACCAGAAACAAACCCTGTGATGAACAAAATATCAACACTTCAAATACCGATGGGAGGTACTCAGACCTTCCCTTGCCTTGGCCCTTGATGCGGGGGCGCAGATGCAGGAGGCGGGGCTCAGGCAGGGCTTGTGCCTGGAGGCGGGAACTAGCAGGCACCCGGGGGCGTTCCGGGG